TTGTCCCCTCGTTTGATGCTACACCGATATCATTAATTTGCAGCCTGGCTGGCATCCTTCAGGCCGGGACCTTGCAGGCCAAGCTCCCCACCTCCCCTACAGGTTATCTCAGGAAACCCCAGGCGGGAGGGGAGGGGCCTGGGATCCAAGTCGTTGGTCCTCTTTCCAGAGCAGCTGCCAGCACCAAGCTTTCATCTTATTCCGTGAAGGGAGATGCGGGGCTGGTATCATCTGGGGCTTTGAGCTTCTGAGCTGTGCATGTGAGCAGGGTCCTTATGTAAGAGAACGGAGCCGGCTTGTGGAAGAGCAAGAGAGGACAGAGAAAGGCAGAGCTGCGCCTGGACTTCCTTTGCAGCCGGCAGCGGCTTTAATCAGGAGGTAGCACAGACAGGGACGTTATGTAAGAAACAAACCTGTGCCCCAAAACACAAAGGCAATGAGACAGAACCATCACTTCAGATCCCACTGCCCTTTTAATGTGGAAACCATGATGAATTCTCTTTCAGATAGATCTTTCTCTGTATTTTCACCGCCTCCCCCATATTACTATTATTTATAAATTACACAAATGATAACAGAGCATTTTTTAATTAAAAAGTGTGTGTGTGTGTGTGTGTGTGTGTGTCACAGTCAGCGAATGTCTGGAAATTAAAGAGCAACTTGCAGAAATTGGTTCTCTCTCTCTACCATGTTGGTTCCCAGGGATCAAACCGAGGCCATCAACCTTGGCAGCAAGCGTCTTTACCTGTTGAACTGTGCTGCTGGCCCAAGAACCCCTTTTTATAAAGGATGCAGACACTAGCGATAAACTGGCCTTTGTTGTCCCCTTGCTCCTCTGGCCATTAACAATGTCATGTCATCCTAGAGACACGGTTTTTCTTTCGTTAGCGTGCGCGGCCACCACATTGCTTTGTCCTGCAGCTTTCCCCACCGTGATGTTTCTCACAGTTAAGTCCTCCAGCAACTGCCAGCCCACACTCTGTATTACACACTCGCGATGTTTACATCACGGGTAGGAGTCACGGGCTATTTATAGTCTTTTGTTAATATGAATAATAATGCTTTGGACACTCACACAGCTGGGACCATGGGGAGGGGGGCTTTCTAGATGTGGTATTGCTGGGGTAACATGTCTGTGGTATCTAATTCTCCTAAATACCACGGGCATTTATTTTTAAGCTTTTTGTTTTTGTCTTCTTGAATTATCCAAGACAAAGATGTCCATTGCAAAAAAAAAAAAAAAAAAGACAACTATGCAGGGAGAGAAAAATCACCGTCTCTCTTTATCCAGCAGTCACAAACTGTTTACAAGTTTGGGGCATGTTTTCTTTCAGTTATTTATTTAAATTTGTTATTTCTCTCCCTCCCTTCTCCTCCTTCCACCCCACCCTCCATCCCCCATCCATCCTCCTCCCCCTCCCCCGTGTGTGTGGAGAACCCTGTAGCATGGAGTTTATCCTCTCCTTCCCCCTTTGGTGGGTTCCAGGGATCTAAATAGGCTTCTGGAGCAAGCAATTTTACCGTTCTTTACCTCTGAGCCGCCTGACAGCCCTATTCGTTTATGTGGTTATTGGTATGGTGGTCCAGTCAGACCACACCATTTCCTAACCAGCCTTTACTAACCTTGTGAGCATTTTCCCCCATCCCTAAAGCCTTTGTCTAAACACTCTTTTTATGATATTATGATGGACATTTTATGCACATACCGTAGGTTTTAAGTCCCATCCCTCCATTGTTGATCTTTAAGTAGCCCTACACTGTTTTCTACTATAAGATCTCAGAGATTTTTCTTTAAATATCATTGTCCTCATTCCAAGGATTTTCTTAAGCGACACTCCCCAAAGAAGTAGTACTGGTTCCCAAACCCAGAGATTTTAGCAAATCTATTTTTCAAGTTGAATTCTGCATTGCTAATTCATGCACATGGGACAGAATCCCAAAGCAACCTAGGGTTACAGAATGAAATCTTCTTGGTGATGTTTTTATTTGTAGAGGTCACAATGTGCAACCCAGACTGGCCTGGGACTAGCAATCCACGGGCCTCAGCCTCCTAAACACTGAGACACATAGGGCCACACCCAGCTTTGTGTATGATATTTAACGGGAAAACTATGAGCACGTCCTCCTTTGTCATATGGAAGAAGCAGCGAATCAGAGACACATTTTGACAGCTTTTCACTACATTATTGGTTAGTCTGTTTCTGAGACTTACCAGATTTTCTAAAAGAAAAAAAAAGTTGCAGAGAATTCCTTTAAATGGATGTGTCCTAATTAAATCAATCAATTCTATTGATATGTTTAAGGTTTTTTCCCCCCATCTGTAAGCTTTGAGCCAGTGCAGTAATAAGTATCATTACTCAGAAGCCAGTCCACACACATCTGAGCAATACCTTCCTGTAAGTGGAACTGAGTCCCAGGGATTGGCCGCCGTCGCCTTCTCTTGACAACTGAGCACTTCGTCTTTAGATTAGGTTAGAAGCTCTTCATACAAACGGCCAGCCTGGACACGCCTGTTTGCCTCCTCACACCTGTTTGCTGTTTCCCTTTGAGTCCGGGGTTGGGAGGTGGGGAGGGAGGCAGCTTGGCTATTTGCACAGTATCTGTCCTCAATAGTCTTTTTGAAAAGGATCAGTTTAAAGAGTAGCAAAAGCAAGCTTTTTAAAACATATGTGGCCAGTTTTTAAATCTTAAAATATGGTGACACACACTTGTAATCCCAGCACTTGGAAGCAGCGGGAAGGGAATCTAGGAGATCCAGGCCAGCCTCAGCTACCTAATGAATTTGAGTCCAACCTGGGCTACAAGAGATCCTGTCTGCAAAACACCAAACAAAACTATTATTTTAAAGTCGGTTTCTGGGAGAATTCTCTTATCTCAGTTTTACCACTGTTTCCGTGTGACCTTGGTTTGGGATTTCTAGAGAACTCATAATGCCTTAGTACAATGCGGCCGGGATAGTGACATACACTCAGCTCACCCCAGCAAGGTCTCAAATGGTGGCTGTTGCCCGAGTCAAACCTAAGACCAAAGGACAGGAGGCTTCCTGGCTCGGAAAAGGCGGCTGGGCGGGGCCGGCGGCTTTGTTCTTTCAAATGCTGGCGCTGGCCTTTGTGGCACTGCAGGGTGCCGATAGCTGGCTAACAGCCCGGGGGGTGAACACCGCAGCCCCACCACCCGAGGGCCAGAGAGCTTTGGCAGGACTTTCCCGGGCTGACCAAGTCATGAAAGGGCCTGTCATCAGCGTGCTGAGTGCTGCGTGCTGGGTACTGGGTGCTGCATGCTGGGTGCTGCAGCCGGGCTCGCACCTGCGCTTGCATTCCGGACGGTCCCTGAGGACGACTCTGGAGTCCATTGCGCCTCGGGCTCCGGCTCCCAGCACCCAGCTACTGTGCCCTGAAGTCAGCCGCGGAGACGCCACTGCCCTCCCACCCTCGCCCCGCTGGGGACCGGCCAAGGACAACGCCAGTGTGCAGCTGTGCGCGCTGCAGGTGGCTTGGGAGCAGCTCCAAGGAACAGAGCGAAGCCTTTTTTTGGGCGGATTTGCAAAAAATTTCCACTCGTAGTGTCGTCACCATGTTGAAGCATCGTAGCCATGCCCTCCCCGCCCTCCCCGCCCCTCGCCTTCCTTTCTCTACGGACTTGATTTTCCAGGGAGAGCAGCGGCCAACCGCACGCTGCTCCTCACGTGGCCCCACCTGTGTGGTAGGGGTGATGCTGTGGGAAGGCACTGACTGACATTGAGGCTTGGGCTGGGTTATGTTCCTAACTGCGCATGCCTCTACGTCTTAGTCTTTTCATCTGTTGAAGGGAAGGGAAGGATTAAAGCTAGACAAGGGCAGAAATGGGTGAAGCAGGGAGTTTGGGGGACGATAGACTAGCTCGATTTGTCTTCACCTAATAAAACTGAAAATATTCATAGCACGCCTGCCGTGTTTGGTTTTTGTTGTTGTTGTTGTTGTTTTGGTTTTTTTGTTTTTTGTTTTTTGTGACAGGGTATCTATGTGTAGTCCTGGAACTCACTCTGTAGATCAGGCTGGCCTCGAACTCAGAGATCCACTGGCCTCTGCCTCCTGAGTGCTGGGATTAAAGGCACCCACCGCCACCATCCTGCTCTACTTTTCTCTTTAACCTAGTAAAATATGTGCATTCAGGAAGTCTGTCCTTTTTAGACTCCACCTAAAGGCAAACCTTTGATACAGTTCAGGGCCAGCAATGGAATGTGTAAGTACGCTGCAGTCTGTGTGGGCTCTGGGTTACTAGAGTGAGCTGGATGCACCAAGCTAGACAGGTGCAGAGGAGAGGAGAGCTTAAAATGCATTAAAGGTAAAAGAATGCAGAACGAGGCGTTTACATAACATAAGTTTTGCAACATAGCAAACAAATCTCTGAGTTTTCTATGATTGTATTCAAACATATAAATATTATCTTTTTTTTTTTTTCAGAGCTGAGGACCGAACCCAGGGCCTTGCGCTTGCTAGGCAAGCGCTCTACCACTGAGCTAAATCCCCAACCCCATAAATATTATCTTTTAAAACAGAAAGAACAAGAGAGCAATACAGTAGTCCTAACAGTGGCTGTCTCTGCACGTGCCGGGTCCTGGGTTCCAACTCTGGCTCTTCCAAAATAAATAAATAAAATTTCAGAAGGCAAGTCAGTTACAGATTACTTCGGGGATTCTAAGCTGTACGTTTATAAAGAAAACACTCGAGCTGTTGAGATGATTCTCTGGCCTAACAGCCCTGAGATTCCACTCCTCCTCCTAAACCTGACCTAGATGCTTCTGCCCCAGATCCCACCCTGTTCTCAAGGTCAGAGTACCTGCCTTCCACTTGAATCAGGGCAAACTCCTAGCTTCCCCGGCTGTGCCAGGCTTACTGTTTGCTCTTTCCAGCACCCTGTCCCCCTGCCTCTGCCTGCAAACTTCCTTCCTGTCTCTTTAGGCCCTCCCCTCCCCCAGGGGCTTTCCCTGCTTTGGGTTTAGGGCTGGCTGTTCTCTGTGCTCTGAGCTGATGGTTTATCTACTGTGGCCTCCTTAGGATTTGACTTCTGAACCTGATACCTCTCTGTTGAATGGACAGACAGATCAGATCTACAGAGTTGAGCTCCTCTCTGGGGTGAGTTCTCTGGTGCCATCTGATACATTTGGGGGGTTTTGTTTGCTCCTATCGAGGGAGACAGAAGCAGGATTTCAACTTAGAGACTGTGATTCCAAAGTCTTTTGTTTACTTTTTATTTTTTTTTAATGTCACAAGATAAATCAAATGCAATTTCTCAACCACTTCAGAAAGCTCAGGACATGTTAAATCCTTGGCGAAGAAAGACATATTAACACCATCTAAGATGGTTCACTTCCTTTCAAGGTATAATTGTTTCCATTTTTGGTGTGTGTGTTTATGCGCATGTGCTGGTGCGTGCAAGTCTGTGAGTGTGCATGGAAGACAGATGTCAACCTCAGGCAACCTCAGGAAGAATCCACTTGATTTTTTTGAGACAGAGCTCCTAGGACCTGGGGCAGGAGGATTAGGCTAAGCTGGCTGGCCAATAAGTCTCAGGGATCCTTCTGTCTCTGCCCTCTCAACTGGGAGGACTACAAGCACCTGTCCAGGTCTTTTTGTACTGGTTCTTCTTTGTTTTGAGACAAGGTATCTCTATTATGTAGCTCTGGCTGTTCTGGAACTCTCTCTGTAGACCAGGCTGGCTTCAAACTCACAGAGATTCACCTACCTTTGCCTCCTGAGTGCTGGGATTAAAAGTGTGCCGCAGCGTGCCCAGCCACTCGTCCAGCTTGTATTGATGGATCCTGGGACTCAGACTCAGGCTAATACTGTGCACACTTACTTGTCTCCCAGCCTCACACATTTACCCTGAAAATGCATTTGTTTTTCTGTTGTGTGGGTGTTTTACCTGAATGTATCACTGCGCAGTGTGTTTGTACGATGCCCACAGAAACCAAAAGGAGCTCTCGGATGCTCTGGAGCTGGAGTTGAGGATGACTGCAAACCACCATGTGGGTGCTGGGAATTGAACCTAGGTCTTCAAGAAAAGCACAAAGTGCTGTTAACCACTGAGCCATCTCGCCCCCATATCAAGAAGAACTTCCAAATTTATTCTTTGACAATTTTAACCATTCACTCCCACTCGGCTTATCTTCTTCCATTCCCTGGAACCCCCAGAGCCCACACTATCAACCACAATGCTCTGAACCCCTAATCCACTTAAGTTTTTCGGACACCAAACATGTATTAAGAACCTGGGCGATGTCCTGTAACGAAAGGTAGACAGAGCTCCTATTCCAGTGAATCTCACATTTAAGCCTAGAGTGGGGGGAGGCACAGAAAATAATTATATAAGCTGCCTTCTTGTGCCTGGGGGATGTGATACCCGGGGTGATGAGAAAAGCAGGCTAGAAGACAGGAGGAAGACTGGAGTCCATCCAGGACACATTTGTTTTGGAGACGAGAGGTATAGGGTAGAAGCCGATGAACCAGTCCAGAGCATAAACCTAGGCTGCATTTACAAGTTAGGATTTAACTTTTATTAAGTTAGGCTAACATTTACAAATTAGCAGCATAGACAGTACATACACCTTTCATTTTTCTTGAATATGCATGTGCAGTCTATTGAGTACATGGCATGTGTCAGAAGTGGCATTCAGTGTTCCAGACCAACAATGGAGTCCAGCAGCAAGCCCACAGTCCAGGCAGACGTGTAGTTAACTACAAACAGACCGTGTGGTCTGACAGTCGAGAGAATTTTGGGGTGTGGCAGAGGCCTACAGAAGGAAGAGGCCTACTTGAGGGATCGGGTGGCCAGGGAAGGCTTCGCAAAGGTGATGACAATGAAGAAGCCTTTGAAAGATGGCCAGGGACTTCTCCGTAGGCTGGAGTCATCACAGCAAGTCAGGCAGGGAGAGTCACCAAGGCCCAGAGGGGGACAAAGGGCAGTGGTGTCATGGCTGGGACATGGCTGGTGAATATGCAGACAGGGTTGTTACTGTAATGGGGCCACAGAGAAGGATCCTCAGGCTGAACAAGGGTTGGACTATGGACCGGACCATGTGCTATGGGAAAAGTTAGCCTTTGATCCATCTCATAGACACCAGGCGATTGTCAGAGCTTAGAAAGACCCTTGGGGGTATCTGTAGCCACTTTCAGCTGAAACGTTTACTTCTGGTTGATTAGATGTCAGTCAGGATAGGCATCACCGAGACTGAGTGAAGCCCTCCACTTTGGGTTGAATCGTGACCCCCTAAAAGATGTAGCCCTGAGTCTCCCATCCCCCATCCTTGTGGCCTTATCTGGAAAATGAGTCATAGTGGATGATCAGGTCAGGATGAGGTCATCAAGCTGGGCACCAATCGAGCACTACTGCTGTCTGGGTCAGCAGGGCGTTTGTGGACCATGAGACTAGCACAGAAGGGGAAACTGAGGCAAAGACCAAGGGAGAACTTGGTGTGTCGATCAACTTATAGAACTTGGTGTTCAACCAACCTATAGCAGAGGCACCAGAAGCCAAGAGAGGATTGAAATATATTCAACCTTAGAAGGAACCAGCCCATGGGCTAGAGAGATGGCTCAGTGGTTAAGAGCACTGACTGCTCTTCAAGAGGTCATGAGTTCAAATCCCAGCAACCACATGGTGGCTCACAACCATCTACAATGAGATCTGATGCCCTCATATGGGTGTCTGAAGACAGCTTCAGTGTACTTACATATAATAAATAAATCTTTAAAAAAAAAAAAAAAAGGAACCAGCCCTGCAATGCCATGACCTCAGGTTTCCAGCCCTAGGACACTGAGCTGGTACGTTTACTGAAGCTCCCCCTCCCCCCAGTTTGAGGCACTTTTTCTTAAGACAGCCCAGAGAAGGTTAGCCCCTCCCCATCCCCATCCCATCTATGTGTTGTGTCCTTTCCTTACCCTAGGCTTCTTATTGGCTGCTCTGTCCTGGTGACTCCACTGGGCTCTTGGCCGGCACACCTGAGTCTGCTGAAGTGATTAGCCTGCACCAACTGTGAGTGACTGTTGCTGTCTGTGGATGTAGGCCATGCTTCACCAGGACAAGTCTCGGAGGAAAGACCTGTTATTCTTTCTTGTTATTCAACATCTCTACCTCTCCATTTGACACCCCAGCCACCTCCAGGCCTTTCTAGTTTGAATTCCACCCAGTGTCGATGTCCACCCAGCCTGGAAGGCGTGTGATCTCAGCAGCCTGCTTTTAACTTCTGGTGACAGCTGTAACCTCAGTCTTCCTGAATTACTGAGACTCCTGATGACACTGACCGCTTTGGAAGCCCATGGGGACAGGACATGTTTCCTGTGAGAGGCTGTGGATAGCCCTGAAATATAATGAATTCAAAGAACCTGGTGATACCCCTTAGCCCTGTGTTCAGACGCACAAGAGCCCATTGGAGAGGCAGACTAGGCCCTGGGGATGTGGTTCCCTTGGAGAGCACCTGACCAGCATGGCCACGCCCTGGTTTCTATCCCTGTACCACATAAACCCAGTGCATCAGCACTTGCCTGCAGTCCTTTTTCTTTTTTGTTTTTTTTTTTTTTGTTTTTTTTTTTTTTGGTTTTTCGAGACAGGGTTTCTCTGTGTAGCCCTGGCTGTCCTGGAACTCACTCTGTAGACCAGGCTAGCCTCGAACTCAGAAATCCGCCTGCCTCTGCCTCCCAAGTGCTGGGATTAAAGGTGTGCACCACCACCGCCCGGCTTTGCCTGCAGTCCTAGCACTTGGGAAGTAGAGGCAGGAAGATCAGAAAAGCAAGGTGATCCGCAGCCACCTAGTGAATTAAGGCAAGACTATTTACAGGAGACTCTGTCCCAGAAGGAAACAAACAGAAATAAAAATAGAGAAGGGGACTGATCTAAAACAACAAAAAAAATTGCTGAGTGTGGGGGCACATGCTTGATCTGGCACTGGGCACACAGGATAGGAAAATTAGATGTTTAAGGCTAGCCTGGGCTACATGAGACCGTGTCTCAAATAAGTGAATAAATTCAAAAGGAATTTGATGAAGCCCAGCAGAGGCGAGAGGGTCCATCTCCCATCTTATTACTCCTGTACCTTCTCTCTCCCTCTCTCCATTTGGAGACAAGGTCTCACCTGTACCTCAGGTTGGCCCAAAGTCCAAGCCTGGGGCTTCTCGAATGCGGGGATCCCAGGCACAGCCACCACCAGTTCACACTGCTCACTTCTTGTTTGTATTTTGCTCGTTTGGAGAGGACTGGTTGGAGGAAGGGGTGGAATGCATTCGCTCAGCTACCGCATTACAGAAATGGCACCAACTGAGGCGGCAAGACTCTCCACGCAAGACGGTGTCCTGAATTAGAACTTGGAACAGGAAGAAAAAAAAGACCCCAACGGGAAGATGGAAGAGGCAGTTCAAGCCAGCCATTCAGTTAACAGCGCTGCACTAAGGCAGATGTCCTAGTTTGGATACGTGTCATTTATTATTCTGTGTGATCCTGATATCAACCGCTGAGGTCCAGGAGCTTCATGGGCTTGTCACTGATGAGGAGATGGGGCAGTCACACCCATGGCGAACAGGATCAGGAGGATTGTGTGGAACACAGGATGAGAAGGTCCTCTGTGATACCTTGGGACCCTGGGCAAATGTCTCCAGTTCTCTGACCACACCCCTGCTCTGTAAAGAATAGGAGAGCCATTAGGACAACACAGAGTGACAGAGCCAGACTAGAATGAAGCTCTGCTATTTCCAAATGGCCTAGTTGGACCAGTGATGTAAGCTCAGTCGATCCGATGCCAAGGCAGGGCAGAGGTAGAAGAGAAAAGCCCCCACACCATATGTTCCAGTATCTCAGTCACAGATCAAGGCTGCAAACCAGTTCTTAAATTGCATGTTCTGCCCTCTCACTTCTACACAGCCTAGAGAGACAGATTTTGAGTTGAGAATTCTTTCTTTAAAAAAGTTTGAGGTGGATGGGTGGTGGTGGCACACACCTTTAATCCTAGCACCCAGGAGCCAGAGGCAAGTGGATCTCTGAGTTCCAGGCCAGCCTAGTTTATAGAGTGAGTTCCAAGACAGTCAAGGCTACACAGAGAAACCCTGTCTCTACAAAACAAAAAACCAAACAACCCCCCCATCTCCTTCCCCTAAAAGACACAAAAAATTGTATGTATATGTGTGTGGTGTCCTTCCTTCCTTCCTCCCTTCCTTCCTTCCTCCCTCCCTCCCTCCCTTCCTTCCTTTCCTGTCTGTCTATCTGTCTGTCTGTCTTTTCTTTCCTTTTTTGATTCTTTGAAACAGTCTCCCTGTGTAGCCCTAAGCATCCTGAAATTGTCTATGTAGACCAGGCTGGGCCTGAATTCACTCTCAACCTACCTTAGCTTCCAAGTGCTAGGTTGAAAGATGTGTACTACCATGCCCAGCTCCTGATCATGATCAACATTGGGGGGGGGGGGGAGGAAGGGTGTGTATGTAACAGTGCAGGTGTCTGTGGAGCCAGAGGAGGGTGCTGGCTCCCCTGGGGCTGGAGTTACAGGCAGTTGAGAAATGTCTACTGTGATTACCTTGAACGACTGCGAGAACAGTAAGTGCTCTTAACCCCTGAGTGATCTTTCCAGCCTCTATTTTAAAATTTAAATGAAAAAATATTATTTATTTATCTTATATGTGTAGTTGTTTTCTTGGCATGTATAAATGTGCATGACTTGTGTCCTTGGTGCCCAAGAAAGCCAAAAAAAAAAAAAAAAAAGTCAGATCCCTGGAGCTGGAGTTATAGATGGTTGTAAGCTGCCATGTGAGTGCTGGGAATTGAACCTGGATCCCCTGGAAGAGCAATTTTTAATTGAGTCTTCTGGAATTTCCCATCATGCACCTCAATCACACTTCCAGTCCTTCCATATCTGCCCCCCCATTCTTGTGACCTCTCACACTCCAAATAGATTTTTAAACCTAGAAAAAAAGAAAACAGACAAGTCTGCTTTGTGTTATCTGTATACTCACTGGAGCATGGTCAAACTCTCAGTGGTCTGCCCCTTAAATAGAACTGAGACCTTCCCCTCCCACGCACCCTGCCGGCGGCTCTCAGTGGCGGAAAGCTGCACACCGTCTGCGTCCTTATCGCACGCTTTAAAGAGTTCTCTTTGATGGCTTCCTGTTTAGGCTGTTACTTCTGAGGGGTCTGGGGAAGGGTAGGGGTTGTCACAGAAGCCTTCCAGGTCCCTCTTCCTCAGCTATACCCTTGTGGTCACTGATAAACATTGAAAAAGTAACTTCCTCGCTCCTTACGGTCAGCGAGAGCATAGGTCATGGGCTTCCACATGGTTTCTGGTGACAAACAGCACAGACCTCCCCCTACCCCCACATCCACATGACTTTGATCAGTAAGGCCCCTGTGGCAGTATGGCTTGTGGACATCAGCATGAATTCAGGCTGCAGCAGGACCTCAGACATCGCATACCCTTGGGTAATAACAAGGCCCTTGACTGTTGCAGGATACTTGGTTATACCGTGAATCCTGAGATTGTGTTATTTACTGAAAAACAAACAAACAAAAACCTGTTTCTAGTTGTGGTGTGGCTCAGCCCTTTGCACACATACCTTCAATCCCAAACAATGAAGGTAAAATTAGTTTGTAGTACAAAGCACCCGGTGTTTAAAAGTGATGTCTAATTGAGTGGCAGACGAAGTGACAAATCAGACAGACTTGACAGAATAGGCTATGCCCAGCTCTTACAAGAAGAGAGAGGAAAGGGAAGCTACTTGAGGGGCACTGGAGAGAGAGGAGGCAGTTTTACTGGGACAGTTGTACAGAGACAGAATAAGCCAGAGATTGAGAAGGAGCAGATTAGAACAGATTGACAGAGTTAGTTCGAGGCTGAACAGAGCAAAAAATCAGAGGCTGGGAAGGAAGTCAGATGGAACCAGTCGGCTTGGTGAGCAGTTTGAGCCAGAACAGTTGAGTTGAACCAACCAGTCAGACCTTAGAAAGGACAAGAAAGAGTGAGCTTGCTAGGCAGCACGTCTCAGAGGCTTATAACATTCTAGGCCTAGATAAGATTGTACAGAGGCTAGAAGTTTGCAGAACTAGGCCCTAGGTTAGCAGAGGGAGGCGGTAAGCTTCTGAAACGACACTTAGAGCAGAGAATAAGACATGCTTACAAACTGAGCCACTCATGGTCTCAGCAGCAGCATGGGCCATGAGCTTCAACATGGCTTCGGGTGGATATACAGGCCACTCACGTCACGCCTACCCCCACCTGCCCAGGCAGCAAAGGCAGAGGCTATCACCAAGGCTTCAGTCAGAGGCACAGACTACATAGGCTCACATGGATCTCAGCTTGGAGCAGTAACCTGGGCCACAGACACTAGCATGGCCTCTGGTGGTGTCACAGAGACCACAGTGGTCCTTCAAGGAGGTCCACTCCAGTGGATAAGGATAACCATTCCTTATCTCAGGCCTCCATCACTGCACAGAGCCAGGGTAAACCCATACCCAGGTGGAATGAATATTCAGGGATGGTTATGCATCTGTATAAGCTCCAGGGTGCTACACACACACACACATACACAATCTCAGTCAGACTCTGACTTTACAAAGCTTCCGCCCTCTGGGTGACAACTGCAGACACTTACTTGCACACACTTACTGAGACAATCAGTAAACCTGAGTCGTTCTGAGCTCAGCGGCTGCTCGCCAAGCCTTTATGTGGGTTATTAATATACTCGAAGAACTGACAGCCACATCTTCAGTGGGATTTCTCCTCCCTCTTCTTTCCCTGGAGCCTGAAATTTCCAGAGACAAAGCCTTTCAAATCACTCTTGAATGAATTGAGAAAATGAATTAAAATCCCAAATGGTAACTGCTGAGTTGGTACCACTTGCGGTGGCGGGCAATTTGGCACTATTCAAATGCTAACTGGGCTTGTCCTTTGACCCTGAAATATCACGTCTTTTGCAGATAGGCTCACCTATGTGAGAAACGCCAGGTGGACAGAGTCCTTGGCCACAGAATTGTTTGAAATAGCATGTTGCTAGGGATGACCTGGGGGCTCTGGAGTGAACACGGCTTAACTAGGTCATGGGCTAGTCACACTGTGGATTATGGACATGTTAGATGTAGAAACAGTGGTAAGATCCTGACACATATGAAGTGAGAACTAAGCAGTTTAAATGCAGAAGAGTCTCGGCAGACTACTATGGTCACGGATGGAAACGGTCAGGAACACGAGTCTATAAATTTGCTTCTGATCCTATAGACACTCAGAATATATAGGAAGCTGATTACTGTGCGCAGAGAGGAAGATGAAGAAATTGGCAGCTAGAGATCAAAAAAGTAAGAGAGATTTATTTACTTACTTACTTACTTACTTATTTTGAGACAGGGTCTCTCTCTATAGTACTAGGTGTCCTGGAACTCTCTATGTAGACCAGGCTGGCCTGGAAGAGGAGAGATTTTTTTGTTGTGATACAGGGTTTTTCTGTGTAGCCTTGACTGTTCTGGAACTCACTCTGAAGACCAGGCTGGCCTCAAACTACAGAGATCCT